AATTTTATTAGGGTATAATCAAATTTCCACGTGCCGAATGACTTTCCGAAAAGACAAAACGGGAAAACGGGATGCTAATTTTAGTTTAGTTGCTTTTTAATGGAGTTTTCTATTTGTAAAGTAGGTAGGGTGCTTAAGTATTGGATTCTTGGATTGCCAATATTTCTATTAAATTTTAAACTAATCAAATCAAATTATACATTATTAGAAAGAATAATATATTCGGGGATAATACCATGAGTGCTTAAAAATTATCGATAATTTTTATGAAAGCTTGTTATTTTAATTCCACGAGTTCGAAGAACGAGTGGAATTTGTACAACAAGCTTGAATGAAAATTATCTGGTTAATTTTTAAGCACGAATGGTATTTAGGGAGAATATTTCACGAATTTTATAAAAATTATGGAATAAAATTAAATTTAAATTTGTTAAAATACTTTTCCATGAGCAATTTTGCGGTAACATTCCAGAGAACTTTAACTGTAACGCTCTTTATTTTCCTCTCTGTTCCTTTTTCTCAAATTAAAGGTCCAGCTCTTCACTATAGATGCAAGTTCGGATATTGGAGTATCTTAATCAAAAGTGAACTTTTTTCCGCCGCAAAATGACATAAACTGCCTCCAAATACTGTTTTTAGATTTCAACTTACACTATACTTTCGTCGATTTCCTCATCTTTCACTTTAAAAAACCGATTCATTTTGATTTTTATTGGCTTTTGCTTTCGACAAATACACCAAATACTTGTGTTTCTATGGTTATTATTGATTCCCGTATCTAATTTACAATACAAACATTAATTTTTCTGTGTCGTCAAAATGTTAAATTGACTTGTATAGGTGATAATTTCACGTTGCCTAGACAACGTTGAATTTTCGAATGTAATACCACAAGAGGTTTCAGGATTACCGGATAATACTTTTACCTGTCACGAAACGCGTTACGCAGCAACACCACGACTCCGGAGGAGGAGTGGTGTTGCTGGTAACGCGTTGAGTGTCAGGTAAAAGTATTAGGTAATCCTGAAACATCGAGTGGTATTCAAAAGGTTATACAACGAACTAAACTTTAATATTTTGAAATTTAAAAAAAATCTATAATAGAATTTGCTATAAATGCCACCAAGCGCGATAATCCCAAAAGGCTTATCACTGATTAGGCCTCTCGTGTCATATGGGAATAATATACAGTGAGTTATATAACCTTTTGAATACCACTCGATGTTCCAGGATTACCTAATACTTTTACCTGACACTCAACGCGTTACTAACAACACCACTCCTCCTTCGGAGTCGTGGTGTTACTGTGTAACACGTTTCGTGACAGGTGAAAGTATTATCCGGTAATCCTGAAACCTCTTGTGGTATTACATTCGATTATACAACGAACTAAACTTTAATACTTTATTAATTTTTATTATTAATAATGACATATTGCCACCAAGCGCGATAATCCCAAAAGACTTATCGCTTTTTAAGCCTCCCGTGACATATGGGAAAAATGTACAGTGAGTTGTATAACCGCTGTAGTTTTTTGATTTGTCACTTCTCTTATAGGAAAATTTATACATGAGTGAAATATTCTCTATAAATTTGTGCTAAATTGAGTTTGATACCTCAAATACTTTTTTAGCTCTACTTTGTAACGCTCTTTTGTCGAAACAAAAGAATGTTCATAATTTGTGCTCGACTATTGTTCAGTGGTTGTTTAGCTTGGGGTGGTCCTTGGTGTTGGTACAGTAGAGAGAGGGCGCCACTAGTTTGTATAAATAATTTTGATTACCAAGGAATAACCAAACTAGGCACTATTCCATTAATTAGTTATTGTTTAAAAAGATAAATTCAAAAAAATCTGAAAAGGTAAAATAAATCCAAAATCCAATAGCTATCTGACATTCAACCCATTCAACAAAAACACAAGCTTTGGAATTCTAAACACAATTATTTATTAATTAAATGTCATTAAAAAAATTTTGATTTAAAGAAAATTATTGTCTAGTATTCAAGTCTTTTTTTTACAAAAACCATTAAGCAGCTTTCTAAAAGCAAAACTTAATATAAGTATAATAAGATTGAAATTTAAAAACAATCAATAGATACCCATAAAAAAATTTACCTAAGTATAAATGATGGAGTCACAATATCATTAACCTTTAATTTTTGACTCAAAGTCAATCAAATCAATAGAAAACAATGTATTCAATGCAGAAAGGTAATAAATAATCCTTAGGCAGTTATAAATATCAAAAACCTGCTACATGAAATCAAGGGTTCACGGTTTCCGGAAGAGCTCTTACCTTCTTACCTTTAAAGTTCAAAATAGGTAACCATAAAACTTAAATTTGACTACCTAAAGATTTTACATTAGTTCACCTTGTAAAATTACCATATTGATTTCAAATCAGAAGTTAAATCAACCTTTTAAAGATTAATGAACCCACTTATAGTATATCGATCAGTACTAGATATAAAGGAAACAAAATTTTTAATAATTGTAATAATGCATACTTATTGAAAATAAATAATTATTGAGAAAACAATAATAAAAGTAAAAATCTAATTATGATAATGATTTATTAATTGAATGGATAATTATATTTAATTTGTAGTTAGCTATTCTAGCTAAATACTACAATACGGTAAATGAGTCGGTAATTGATTTTATACAGTTATGAATTAGCTAATTAAGCTAATCGATAGTAAGCGATAAGGAATAGATAATAATAATTAACAGTAATTAATATTATAAAGATAATAATTAGCTAATAAAGCTAATCGATAGGGAGCGGTAGAAAAGAGATAATAATAGGTAACGGTAATTACGGACCCATAGGTAAGTAATTATACAAGCCTGGACGAAATCCTTGGAAATTTTCATAAATTTGATATCCAGAAGCACCAAACTGATGGAAGGCAATCATCCAATGGTCGGGATCAATCTCCTACAAGACACAACTTTCCTTGTAGAGGGGGCCCATACTTACTTTGGAAATGCAGTACCGCATGGTCTCTAACTTGTCAAATTTCACCCAGAAGTGTAGGCGTGGATTTTTAATACTCTCCCAAATTGCCTGAACGGATTGCAGAAATATAAGGACTCATTTATCAAAGGGAAAAAGGGATTTACATACCTGAACGGCGGATAATTAACCTCACTTTCAAAAATTTACACAAAAATCAACAATCTGTTGATTTTTCAGGAAACGTTCCAGCTGACATAATTACTCACTACTCTGGCTAGTTCAATTTATATAATTTTGGGCTCGATGGCCAAGAATGAAAACCAAAGTTTTTGGATTTTCCATAGACGACCTTTTCAGTCTAACTATAAAATCGAAAAGAAAAGTCCAAAGTACCCCTGTGGTTCTGTCTTTCTTCCTTTGTCCAGCCTGTCGAAATTATAAAAATGACGGCGCTACCGGTTTTCAAAAAAATAACCCTAGTTAGGTTCGGAGTTGGAGTAGACTGAACAAAACTAATCGAAGGTCTGTTCCCACAGGAGTCTCTGACAGGTTGCAGCCTGTCAGAAACAATCGCTCAGCTGAGTTACACATTAATCTTGGAACGACAGCATTGAAAACATATATGGGCGATGCTTACTGACAGTTTGCAAACTGTCAGAGACTCCTGTGGGAACAGACCCGGAGTCACCCGCAATATGGTAAAAAGCAGTACCCGAACAGCTGGAGTGCGAATGGAGTCACTCGAAGTGTACGGAGTGAGCAAGCCGAACGCATCTCTCAATAACATAATTTTCGTTATTAGGTTAGGAAACTAGTCAGAAAAATCATAGATGTCGCCAGGTGTACGGAATAGTATTTTAAACTTGTTACAACTTATTTATTATTAATTCTTCAGAAACTTGTAAAACAAGCAGTACCTTTTTCCATTTGCCAATAACTATTATTAATAACTGATAAAAAGATGCAAAACTGCCACACCACCTGAAAACTATAGTCTTGCTGGCCACAGAAGACAGATTTAACGTGCGTTTTGTATCCGGAAAATTGGAAAAGCAACTCCTCCATCATACATTTTTCCTGTGGCACAATGATTTCATATCAGGGCAACATCCAGCAGAAATTCTCCTGTCAGTCCTTATATGGTTGGACACTGATTGCAAGTTTCCCCAAAAATCGACTGCTGATTTCGTAAAAAAAAAAAATACAAAAACGCATTATCCCAAAAATACATTTTCTTTCTGGCGCTGCAATCTCGTTTCATAATAGATAGAAGATATAGATACCTCCTTGAAATTGGAAGCTTTATGGTGTCCCGGTTTTCCCCGATAATAATACACTTTTCTGGAACGTTTCTCTGATTCGGCCCGTTTTAAATTCATGAAGACTAGGCGAGTAAGTCACGTTTTGCTTTTAGCCTTTTTAAAGGAAGTTTCCTTTGTAGTTTTTTTTCCAAATACATACAGAAGCAATTTTGATCAAATTAGTTACAGATTACTAGAAAGTGATATCTCGATTTTACCCCATTTATATTGGCTATCTTGAAATGTAAAATGCAAATTTTGAATGCGTTATTTGAACTTTACACACGCACTGTAATTTGATTGTTAAACTAGATAAGAATAATGCGGTATTACCTACCTATTATCCCTCAGTCAGATGCCAAATATCTAGATAGATACATACAAAGATGATGGAAATATTTTTCAAATAATGCTAAATCTATCTGCATAGAAAACAAGTCGCTTATAAATCCCCTAGACATTTCACTTAAATCCAATTAAACCATCAATATGAATTATTAAATTAATTTTCTTCTCGGGCTCGTTTTCCTTAAGTTTGGCCCGCCACACACATAACGAGGTAACCAAGTTAGTATAAACTGCTCGGCCAGTTTAATTATTGCCCGTGCAGCTGCAGCTTTATAAACTAATAGTAAAGTTTTAACGACCCAAAAACACTTTGGTCAGTTGTTTGTTTGAGTGGCGGTTTTCACTCCCTTGAGGATTTTTGGTTGAAAAAAAAAAAAAAACACTACAATTAAATTAAATTTTCTTCAAAATATGGCAAAAGTAACGTAAAAGTTTTCCGCCCATTGGAGCACAAAATCAAATAGTTACTTATATAATAATTAATGAGACCATTTATGCTGTTGAAAGTTTTCTCGTTGGTCTTTTCGCGTCCCAGGGCGACGCAATTATCCTGATCCCGACGTCGGATATTCAGATGAAAGATTTTCGAGTCCTGGACTACGGACAACGTCCCCAGCTTGGATCTTTTCGACGGTCGTATAATGAACGTCCCGTTCTGTTTGTTCTCCAAAAGTATTTCGGCCCGTTCTCGGCTCACGTTTTTGTAAAAGGCTTCCGACGTTTCCCTAATCAACTCTGGAATGAAATTTAATAACCATGTGAATTTTATAATAATTGTTTGGCAAGAACAATATTTGTTTAAATAGGCAAACATTTCATTGAAACAATGTAATAATAAATTCAGAGTAAAACGAAAACTTTAATTGTTATTTTTAAACTACTGGGCTATGGAAATGAAACGAAGGAGTGGGTATTGAAATTAATTAATTCGCTCATTGAATATGAACCTCATTATTCACTCAGAATTTTTGTTTTCGAATGTATTCTTTCTAGAATCTGTTGTTTGTAGATACCTACTTTTCATCTTATTAAAATTTCTCTAAGTTTGAATCTCAATAACCATTATTGTAGCTGGAGAAGCATTTTTTAAAATGCTTCCTGAAGCCTCAAATTAACGATTTCTAAATTCTACAGCGGGAAAAGCATCCTTTGATAATATAGAAGGTTAAATGATCAAGTATAAAACTAGAGTCCATTGAATTTTTTTCCAGAATTTCATTTGCTTAGAATTTTTAAAATCCAAATCATTATTCCATCATATTGCAGTTTGGAAAGTATCATGAAAAGGAATTTTCTCTTAAGAAAAGAAACAACAAAACTTTAACCAACACTGTGAAGTTTCCTGACAAAAGGTATCAGACAAAATGCCGAAGACATCCAAACGATCAGTGGCAACGGTAATAGATTTTTTATCACATTTCCTTTCTTATTATTTAATATTTTTTGGGTTTAAACTAGATGCGTATAATAGTATATTACATGCGGAGGTGGAAAGTGTTTCATTATTGTCGAGAGAGAACTAGAGGTTTATGTGTACGGATAGTTTTCGCTAAGATATTTATTTTTACAAAGTAAAATTCTATAAATTGTCACGGTTTATGTGTACGGACAGTTTTCTCTAAGACATTTATTCTCACAAAGCTTAAAGTTCTATAGCTGTCACGGTTCACGTGTACGGACAGTTTCTCGTCATCTATTGGTTCATGTTTTAGTTTCACGACATAGTGTAAAGTTCTATAAACTGTCACGGTTCATGTGTACAGATAGTTTTCTCTCAGATATTATTTATACTGTCACGGTTCATGTGTACGGACAGGGCTTTATTTCCACCGTCGTTGCGGTCGATTCTAACCGATTTAAGGTTACCGTATTGACTAACCAAGTAAATTCATGTCTGTATCCGAAAATGATGATGACCGCTTCTTATTTTCTGTTGCTCACCGCTTGCTTGACCGCTTCTTATTTTCTGTAACTCAGCGCTTGCTTATAAACCGCCCGTTATCATTAATCTACACGCACGCACACATACACATTTTCACTCTCTCCATTGCACGCCCGCTTCATTCACTCTATTCACTCTACTGAAAGAATGTTATATTTTACTATAGGAATTGCCTTATTGACATAATACATTTATAGCAATAAATACCAGAACTTAATCGTGATTTCATGTGTCTTCTTTTGGAGTTTTCTGGAGGATTTACAGGAGGTATAGAAGAAATAACTTCCAGCATCTGATTCGACCCCTGATCTCCACTGTAACAAGCTACCTGGTGCATGTGGGCCCTCAACCACAATAATCCTATGGGTGGCGCCCGAGATAACCGTTAAAGCAAGAAAAGGAAAAACCGAAAGGACGCTACACTTGGATATGTATTCAGGTTTGAAAGAACAATTTATCAAGCGGAAAGTGAATTCTCTAGGCCGAAAGTGAAAGGAGAACTGTCACTTTCGGCCTGCTTCAAAGTAAACAAAAGTAAAAGTGACATTTTCGAACCTTAAAACCAGTAAAAAATGTGAAAATTACATATATGGTTCAAAGTAATAGTTATTCACATTACATTACAAGTGCGTTTATGAACATGATAACAATAATGAGTGTGAAAGATTAAAACGACGAGGTGGTAGACCGAGCAGTAATGAAACACTTTCCACCTTGGTATATAATATACTATTACAATAGGCCACTTCCACATTTTTCCAAAAAAAAAATTAATAACTTCTGTATTTTCCAAAAAAAAACCTATTTTTGAAAATCGAATTTTTAGACTGCTGTTGAAACGCGGGCTCGGAAAGTGACGTCAGTTTCCGAAAAATACGAGGATGTCGAATTTCTCATTAGTAAATCATTCCACAACTTACGAACTAAAAAAAAGATAGGTGTAATTGGTGAACTCTTGCTTCCTAGTACCTACAATGATCCTTAAATATTTGGGAACTTCTAATGTGACAAAAAAAGCATGTATTAGAGTTATTATATTTCGATACCCACCTGCAGCAGTAATTACAAGTTATAGGTAAAAGGTGTAAATACAAAAGTTATGGCATTTTATCTGAACCGCTGGAATTTTTAATTAGATTGAACCCTCATTCACAATTCACTTTTTTTTATATGGAAGGCACTTTATTTCCTTTCAAATTCTTCAAGATCTCGTTTTTCTGATTCAGATCATATACAGGGTAGTCCAACAAGCGCGCCTCGGTCAATAGTAGCCAAACCGTTGAACTGAAAAAATGTTCTGTATAAAAGTTTTAGAATTTCATCTCTGCTATAAGCCAAAATTATTTTCAAATATACAGGATGTCTCAAAAAAGAGTAATGACAAATATTATGTTTTTTTTTTTTAAATAAAATACCGTGTGTTTTTGTGTGGCAAATGATGCCTCTATGTGCTCTGTATTCAACTTTAAAATCGTATTTGGGTTGAATGCAGCGTTGCCAAGTTATGATTTTTCAAAGAAAAAAATTGACCAAAACATACTTTTTTAAAATTGTCATATCTCCGCCACTGTACATTAATTTCCCTTAAAAATTCACATGTAATCTAGCCTAGTTGTTCCTACGTTATCTTCATTTTTCGATTTAATTATACAGTGTGTCCAGAATATTTGTCTAAACAGGTCAATTTTAAAGTTCATTTTAATTGAGTTATTCAAATACAACACCACCCCGTATATTATTTTTTTATCGAAAAGCTGGAAATGTCCCTTTTCAACAAATATCATATTTGCCTATATATCTCAATAATATTTTTAGATATTAAGATTTTCACTTAACTTTGCACAAAAAACGGTAAAAAGTAAATTAATTTGGTAGTTTTACCTGGAAAATTTTTCGGGAGATTTGAAAATTTTATAGGTTTAGACGTGTTTTTTCCGAATTTCTACTTTACCACCTCGTATTTTTGCCGCTCGCGCCGCCATATTGAAAAATTTGATGATAGAGTACAGTAAAACAATCACTTTTTGCATCCGTAAACGTCTCGTTAAGAAAATACAGAGTATTGAAATTTTCGAAAAATTTTAACTTTTTACCTTTAGATTCTAAATGAATTGAGCGATTTTGTTCAAATTTTCAGAGTCAGAGAGTATTTGCGATGTTCTCAAGCATCTTTTTAAAAAATTCGTTTGAGTTCTCCTTTTCCAGGACCGAACCTAGAACGACTATTATTTTTTTTAAGTAAAAAGTGGTACGACGGATTGGGTTCTGAACTTACGAAGGGCGATTTCCTACATGGGGCACCATTACCAAGAAAGAGGTATAGGGTCACTTGAGCCTGGGAACTTTTTCGATACCGTGGGAAAATCGACAGATTTTGCTGATTTTATACTGGTTTTGTTCTAACTTTCACTGCTTTTATGCTGATTTTTACTGGTTTCATGTTGGTTTTGTGAAATTTAACACAAAACCTGTTATACCAGCAAACAACAGTGAAAACCAGCAAAATCCAGCAAAAAAAAACAGCTAAACCAGCCTAAGACTTAGTCAAAACCAGTAAAATCCGTCGATTTTCCCACGGAATCGAAAAAGTTCCCAGGCTCAAGTGACCCTATACCAGAGATATGGGAGAGTTCTTGGTTAGAATAGAATATAAGGTTCCATCCTGCGCAACTGGCCGATTTTGAAGTGTTGGAAAAATGGGTTATGAACAACTCATAATTTCAAAAATACGCAAAAATAAAAAATAGATCTTCTAAGCACCACTCTGGTAAAAATATCTCAAAAAAAGCAGCAAAAACAAGAATCTGTAAGCGACCAAAAGTAAGGTTATGTTGTGAAAAATCTGTCAGATTGAAGTTGTCAACGTAAGCTGGGTTCGGCTATTCAGTCTGGAGATGGAGTGGAGTGAACAGAGCTAATGGAGTCAACCCTAATACGGTAAAAAGCAATAGCCGAACCTTAACCCGAACGGCTGGAGTGCGAATGGAGTCACTCGGAGTGCACGGAGTGAGCGAGCCGAACCCACCTGTAAAAACTAGTACAGTGTTGCCAACTGATGGGATGTGAAAATACCTAGATTAAAAAAAAAATATATATCCCTAGAATTCCCTAGAATTTATTTTTTTCAAATCCATTTTAGAATTATTATAACAGCCCAATAATAATTGTATATGTAATGTTATAGGTACCTGTAATTTACAAGAGAAAAAAATCATACTTTCAAAACTAATCGCACTCATCCTCAAAATTTTCCAAAAATTTTAACACTCTGTATTTTTTTAACGAGACGTTTGCCGACACAAGTACCTACCTATGCAAAAAGTGATTGTCTCACTGTACTCTATGTATCATAAGAAAATGCGCACTTATTTCGGACTCACCCTGTATTATCATATTAATGAGAAGGAAAGAAGATATTGTGAAAACCCTATTTTTTGGCGAAATTTTTCAATATGGCGGCGCAAGCGGCAAAAATACGAGGTGGCAAAGTAGAAATTCGGAAAGAACCTATAAAATTTTGAAAACTTTCCAGGTAAAACTACCGAATTACTTTAATTTTTACCGTTTTTTGTGCAAAGTTAAGGGAAAATCTTAATATCTCAAAATATTAATGAGATAGTTCGGCAAATATGATATTTTCTGAAAGAGGTAATTTTTAGCTTTCCGGTAGAAAAATAATATACGGGGTGTTGTATTTGAAAAACTTAATTAAAATGGACTTTAAAATTGATGTGTTAACACAAATATTTTGGACACCCTGTATACTTAAATCGAAAAATGAAGATAATGTAGGAACAACTAGGCTAACATTAGATTACTTGTGAATTTTTAAAAGAAATTAATGTACAGTGGCGGAGAGATGACAATTTTAAAAAAGTATGTTCTGGTCTATTTTTTTCTCCGAAAAATCATAACTTGGCAACGCTGCATTCAACCCAAATACGATTTTAAAGTTGAATATAGAGTATATGTATACAGGCATGATTTGCCACATAGTATTCCATTTTAAAAAAAACATAATATTTGGGATTACTCTTTTTTGAGATATCCTGCATACTTGAAAATAATTTTGGGTTATAGCAGAGATGAAATGCTAAAACTTTTATACAGAACATTTTTCCATAAGTTCAACGGTTTGGCTACTATTGACCGAGGCGCGCTTGTTGGACTACCCTGTATAATAATATTTCTTCCAATAGTTTAGGAAATATCTGGAGTTTAGTTAGTTAAAGACCTATTCAGGTTTCAGAATGTTCTGCAAGAGGTGACAGATAAATCAAGGTAAAATATATTCAAAAAACTACTACCTTTGGATAACCAAACGTCAGATATTTCGAAAACTATTGGAAGAAACATTAACATATCGAATATATTCTGAATTAGAAAAATGAGAACTTTAAGAATTTGAAAGAAAATAGAGGGCATTCCATCCAAAAAAAGTGAACAATCTAATTAAAAATTTTGGCGGTTCAGATGAAATGCTACAACTTTTGTATTTACACCTTTTACCTATCACCTGTTATTACGGCTGCAGGTGGGTGTCAAAATAGGGTGACTCACCCTGTACAGTTTTTGAATAATTGTCATTTGATTATTTAATTTTGTATTTTTTATAATAAATTAATATTGAATAATAATAAACTGATCATTCAGGTATCGGCAGTGTGTTAGATAACTTTTGTCAGGAAACTTCACAGTGGTGCTTCAATTTATAGTTTTCCGAATCCTATATGCAACATGCGGAATTCATAATTCCATTTCTGAGTCTGAGATCCATTCGAAATTTGTTTTGTTTGGTAAAAAGACCCTACTCAAAAAGTTCGAGGTTCCTCTGATGGTTTCAAGTATTTTTCAGAAATTTTCAAAGGTGAGAACAAACTACATCTTGTTATCTTTCGTCATTTTGAAGAAATTTACCTGCAAAATGCGTTTCTTTATCTAAGGACATACCCTGTATTTTGAAATAAGGAAAACCTAGTACCTGAGTAGAATAGTTTTTGAGAAAAGCCTCGTGAAAGAGAGATTTTTCCAAAGAAAAAAGTCAAAAAAATTCAATAATGTTGTTAAAGATAATACAATTTAGCCAAAACATCCATAATAGGAAAGGAAAAATCTCATAAAAAGAACAATTTTCAAGGAAAAACTTCATAAAATTGAATATTTTAAAGAGAAAACCTCATAACTAGCATCGAGAATCCATAAAAATTTCATATTATAGCTAGACAGTTTAATTCAGCTAAACATACCTATCTTATACAAAGGCAGAAAGAAATTGTAAAAAACTACATAATGTAACTAAAAAATCGCACAGAGAAAGCCAGTTTTCAAACCTCGTAGAACAAACAATCTATATAAAAAATATAAGAACAATCTTTTAAAGATTCTAGCCCTAAAAATCAGAAAATCCAACTGGGAACTGAATAAAGAGCTTCAGAAATAGTAGGTAATATTCCCATTAGATTACCTTGAAAAATCAATCGAAATATGAAATTTAATAACCATTATTTGTCCTGGATATTTAGTTCCAAAATGCCTGGTTGATTCTCAAGTAGGCTTTTAAATTACATAATTCATATTATTTGATGGAGAATATAGATAAAGGACTTAAGGTTTGCTTGACAAATATTGCTAATTTTGTACTATAACTCGAAAAATTCTATGGATACATTTGCTGGGTTCATACAAATTGCATGGACAAAATCGTACTTACCGCAACTTGCAATGTCCTCTTTTTGATCACCGACCTTGTTACAGCAACAAAAACCGTACATCCTATAACCGAAATCCAATAAATCCGTACCCAGCCTGCCAAAAAGATTGGCCAAAACACGACAAATCACTTTGGAAAATGCGCCCATTTGTTTGACGACGTCTTGCATCTTTATAAGTGAAATAATAGAAACAGTTGTTGATGATGAAATTTGATATGCAAGAGAGGATGTATCTTCTTTAGTTGCACTAGGGAGAACGATTATTGCGCCAGCACTTTTCTAATTTAATAATCGTAAAAAAGAAGCCATGAAACGTATTTGTTATTCCATATACCAGCCATGTAAGTGTCTGTTTTGGCATACCTACTTTAAATGGGAGCATTCTGGAAATATGACTTAAGATTGCAATTTTATTGCTAGTCGTAAAAGCTTTGGAGTTTTGAGTAATAAAGGAATAATAAAAATAATCAAGTTGGTTTGTTAGTACCCTACAACAACTGGTGGAAAAAGTTTCCATTGTCATATGATATCGAATTTTATTCCAGATGAAAAGTTTATTTGCATCCAAAATAAAAATGCACATGCACGTGTATTAATTGTTTATATTAATATATCTACGCAAGTTTATGTTAATAATTCCGTTTGAGAAATTCCGGCTTTGCTTTCTCGGTCTCCGTGGATTCTGAATCTATAAAGTCGCTTGAACGAGCCTAATTACCGAATATTCTAAATATCTCTGGGCTGGGGTTTACGTCAAAGTTAACTATTTACCCTCTGGAGGGGATGTTTGCAGAGGACCAATTATGACTTTCTCTTATGTAGTTGTTTAGATGTTCGTTCAACTTTATTCAATATTGATTTTTCACAAGTTCTATTATTCTTTCTTATATTTTAGCAAAGTAGCAAACAATAGCTAAGATTAAAAATGTACCTCTATCCATTATTTAACTAAGCAATTTAGAAAGTTCGTCTAAACTACTAAACGAAAGTAGGGTTTATTTAAACTTTCAATTAATTTAATTTGAATTTAAAACGTCGAATTTCTCCTTTTATCTTTCTCGTTCCTCGAAAACTACTTAACAACAGAGCAGCCCCCACCCCGAAAACTTCTCAAAGAAAAAGAAGCATCGGGGCGATTGTTTCTCAAAAGTTTGTTTACACATTCCTTGGGATATCGAAACAAACGTTTTTGTTTGCTCGAAAGTTTCCATTTTATAGTATTTTATTGTTTTCCCCGTTATATGGTTTTGTTTCGCCGCGATATCGATGCATAATGGATTCCGCAAATTTTTAAAATAAACTTCTAATATTATTTTATCAATTGAATGTACAAGATTTCCAAATTAATGCTTGGAATATACAAAATTTTCATTCATAAAAGTGTAAGTTGCATTTATTCCCCAATAAAAACGCTAACTGCACCCCGTTTTCAAATAATAAAGTAATTTGAGAATAAGTAGAATTAGTGGTTTAGGAGTTTGTTTGAACTTAAAAAAAAAACTCATATAGTTTCCAATTTTAATTATTACCGATTTTCTCTTAGCTTAGTGGCTAAATTTGCATAATTAATATCAAGTTTTCTTGTTGAAACTTCCATAGTCGGAAAACTCTATCAAAAACACGTGTTCCTGCCTCTGCGAGGCATTTAAAATAAGTTGCCCCAAAGTCTCTACCTTTTCAATTGTGCAAAGTCTTATGGCTTTTCTATCGGAACATTAGAAACACGTTTCGTATATGGCAGCGGGCACATCTGCAACCTAATGCACCTTTCCGAGGGAATTGTTCCGGAATTTTATTGTAGGTACCTATTTTGAATTGTCACGGATTTACTTATAACTACAATTCTCCTTTATATTTGACACTGAGTGACTTATAAACTACGCGCTTCTTATACAAAATTATTCAATCGAGAAATCTCTAGAAGCGATGTTTGTTTTTGCAACAATGTTATTTGGATTCTTTTTTCAAAATCTTTAAGTTTCATCTTGAGGTTTTAAGGTAAAAATGTAGAACTTGCACTATGGCTTGCACATCCTACAAGTGGCTTTACCACTACCCTTGACGAAGTTACCCTGTTTTAACTAAAGGTGGCGGATCTAGAGCAGTAAATAATAAATTCGACGTTCCACATATTTTTGTGCAGCAAAATGGAGATTTTCATGAAGTGGAAACGAGGCAGAAATTCGATGTTTTTCTAAAGAACTGTCCAGGGGAAAAAGTTGAAACATCAGAAGGAAAAAGAAGATTTGTGAAATTTCAAATGGATCCAATAGAAAACAACAGCATGAAAAAATTTGGAAAGCCAACTTTGAACATGAACCACAAAATACATTTAAATAGAAACAGCCTTTTATATTTTAATATTTTCTGGAAAAACTGTCAAAGGGAATTAGTTGAAATTTCTGGAGTGAAAAGAGAAAGATTAGAAGCTTATTATACTGGAATTTCAAATTCATCCAATGAAAAACACAATCAACATGAAAACATCTGGAAAGCCAACTTTAAACATGAGCTACAAAATACATTCAGATAGAAACATCCTATTATATTTTAATATTTTCTGGAAAAACTGTCAAGGGGAATTAGTTGAAACTTCTGGAGTAAAAAGAGAAAGATTAGAAGCTTATTATACTGGAATTTCAAATTCATCCAATGAAAAACACCAACATGAAAAAATCTTTAGACAACTTTGAACATGAGCAACAAAATACATTCAAATAGAAACATCCTATTATATTATAATATTTTCTGGAAAAACTGTCAAGGGGAATTAGTTGAAATTTCCGGAGTAAAAAGAGAAAGATTAGAAACTTATTATACTGGAATTTCAAATTCATCCAATGAAAAACACCATCAACATGAAAACATCTGGAAAGCCAACTTTAAACATGAGCTACAAAATACATTCAGATAGAAACATCCTATTATATTTTAATATTTTCTGGAAAAACTGTCAAGGGGAATTAGTTGAAACTTCTGGAGTAAAAAGAGAAAGATTAGAAGCTTATTATACTGGAATTTCAAATTCATTCAATGAAAAACACCAACATGAAAAAATCTTGAGACAACTTTGAACATGAGCAACAAAATACATTCAAATAGAAACATCCTATTATATTATAATATTTTCTGGAAAAACTGTCAAGGGGAATTAGTTGAAATTTCCGGAGTAAAAAGAGAAAGATTAGAAACTTATTATACTGGAATTTCAAATTCATCCAATGAAAAACACCATCAACATGAAAACATCTGGAAAGCCAACTTTAAACATGAGCTACAAAATACATTCAGATAGAAACATCCTATTATATTTTAATATTTTCTGGAAAAACTGTCAAGGGGAATTAGTTGAAACTTCTGGAGTAAAAAGAGAAAGATTAGAAGCTTATTATACTGGAATTTCAAATTCATCCAATGAAAAACACCAACATGAAAAAATCTTTAGACAACTTTGAACATGAGCAACAAAATACATTCAAATAGAAACATCCTATTATATTATAATATTTTCTGGAAAAACTGTCAAGGGGAATTAGTTGAAATTTCCGGAGTAAAAAGAGAAAGATTAGAAACTTATTATACTGGAATTTCAAATTCATCCAATGAAAAACACCAACATGAAAAAATCTGGAAAGCCAACTGTGAACAGGAGCCTCAAAATACATTCAAATAGAAACATCCTATTATCTTTTATCATTTTCTGGAAAAACTCTCAAGGGGAATTAATTAAAATTTCTGGAGTAAAAAGAGAAAGATTAGAAGCTTATTATACTGGAATTTCAAATTCATCCAATGAAAAACACCAACATGAAAAAATCTGGAAAGCCAACTGTGAACAGGAGCCTCAAAATACATTCAAATAGAAACATCCTATTATATTATAATATTTTCTGGAAAAACTGTCAAGGGGAATTAGTTGAAATTTCTGGAGTAAAAAGAGAAAGATTAGAAGCTTATTATACTGGAATTTCAAATTCATCCAATGAAAAACACCAACATGAAAAAATCTGGAAAGCCAACTTTAAACATGAGCCACAAAATACATTCAGATAGAAACATCCTATTATATTTTAATATTTTCTGGAAAAACTGTCAAGGGGAATTAGTTGAAACTTCTGGAGTAAAAAGAGAAAGATTAGAAGCTTATTATACTGGAATTTCAAATTCATCCAATGAAAAACACCATCAACATGAAAACATCTGGAAAGCCAACTTTAAACATGAGCTACAAAATACATTCAGATAGAAACATCCTATTATATTTTAATATTTTCTGGAAAAACTGTCAAGGGGAATTAGTTGAAACTTCTGGAGTAAAAATAGAAAGATTAGAAGCTTATTATACTGGAATTTCAAATTCATCCAATGAAAAACACCAACATGAAAAAATCTTTAGACAACTTTGAACATGAGCAACAAAATACATTCAAATAGAAACATCCTATTATATTATAATATTTTCTGGAAAAACTGTCAAGGGGAATTAGTTGAAATTTCCGGAGTAAAAAGAGAAAGATTAGAAACTTATTATACTGGAATTTCAAATTCATCCAATGAAAAACACCAACATGAAAAAATCTGGAAAGTCAACTGTGAACAGGAGCCTCAAAATACATTCAAATAGAAACATCCTATTATCTTTTATCATTTTCTGGAAAAACTCTCAAGGGGAATTAATTAAAATTTCTGGAGTAAAAAGAGAAAGATTAGAAGCTTATTATATTGGAATTCCAAATGGATCCAATGGAAAACACCAACATGAATGACTATTTCCTTTAGAAAAATAACCAAGTGATTAAGTACCAATTTTTCAAAAATTGTAGCTCCCCTCACTAATAAAAAAAAGCAAGCACTTGCCACAAAATAATGAGTTTGACAAAGACAAATTCCCCCAAAAATTGTCATAATTCAATTCCTCCTAATAATCTGCTTCCTAATCAAGTCTATAAAGGATAATCAATTTCTAATTGCAAATTTGAGTTCGGGCTACGTGACCTGTCGGAGATAATTTAGGAGGCGTTACGTTAATCCCGTTTTCGAAGGGAAATCCATCAGGATTTTTGATAAGCAAAGCCCCGAAGGCATATTTAAACCGATTTCCAGTCGAGTAAAGAAGATGTTTTATTAACTTTAGATAAAAGAAAAGAAGAAGTTTTTTTGTGACCCCCTTGGCCAAAAAACTATTTCCTTGATTGCTTGTTTTTCCATTAAAAAAAGAATGGATAATGGAAGAAAAACCCTGAAGGTTATCTCTGGACAGGCGAGTGATTAATTATTATTATTTCTGCTTTATTGAGAGTAGGTCGCTTAAACTTTAATATCATAGATTTAGGACGTCGTAAAAGAAATTGAATTCCTGAGGCTACATTAAATTTAATAGGT